CAGCAGGTAAATAAACTGGCCCGGCCCGCTAGGGTGCTTACCCTTGCGAGCCACGTGCCAAACGTTGCCGACCCCTGTACTAGTGAGTTAGATAAGCATGCTAATGGTAAAAAACATAAACAAAAGGTTGAGACAGTATCTAATACAAAGAAAATTGATGATATGTTTAATAAACAAGATTGTGAAAATAAAAAAGCACAAAACTTTGAAGAGCAAGTTAAAAATGCAGAGATTAGAATGGCCTGTTACTTTGCCAAACATAATGTCAGTGTTCAATCTGTAGAACACTTGACTGAAGTAGCTAAAAAATGTTTCCCTGATTCCAAAATTGCTGAGGCTGTAACATTAAAGAAAGATAAATGTACTGCTATAATTAGCAATGTTTTGGCGCAAACTTAGACTGAGGAACTTGTAGAAAAATTGAAAGTTAATGAATTTAGATTATTCAGGTCAATTCATGTTTGCAAATATATCTGAACTGGCTAAAACAGGTTTTCACATTACCGCATTCAAATGCAGCATGTGAAAGATTTTTTTCCATGGTAACTGACATAAAAACCACAACAAGAAACTGTATGACAACCAAAACACTCAATTCTAGTGTAGTTATAAGGTCAGCTTGGAAAGCAAAGCAAGATCAATGTTTTAATTTTGTAATTACTATTAAGCACTTGTATTTACATTGTAAAAATATGTACAGTAAAAATGATAGTGATAAAAATATTAATGATGGTAATGATGTTCCTAGTGACGACTCAGACCATGAGTCAGAAAATGGATAAAACTCAAAGATTATAATAATAAGGAAAATTATATAAAAGAGTGTTATTTGTTCTGTTTGCTTTTTTATCTTATTTTATAATCATATGTTTACTTTTTATTTTTTCAAAGTAACTTTGATGTACAGTACACTGTAGGGCACATACTGTACTTATTAATACTTTTGTTTTTAAAATTGTGAAATTTGTGTAAAATACATTGTTTTCTATCATTTCAATCCTACTCATGTGTTAAATATTTTATTTACTGTATAAGTAACATGGGGGGAGGGATAGCTCAGTGGTTTGAGCATTGACCTGCTAAACCTAGGGTTGTGAGTTTAGTCCTTGAGGGGGCCACTTGGGGATCTGGGGCAAAATCAGTACTTGGTCCTGCTAGTGCAGGCAGGGGGCTGGACTCGATGACCTTTCAAGGTCCCTTCCAGTTCTAGGAGATGGGATATCTTCATTCATTCTAATTCTATAAGTTTAAAATTTAAAAACACGTCTATCTGTATAAAAATTATAATAAATGTGAAATATCTTGAACGAATAGGAAGAATTTGGATATAATATATATTATATAGTTATTAAAAACACACATATTACGTTCCTTTCACATTTTGAAATAAAAAACTTTATCTGGGAATTTTTCACCAGATTTAGGATATTTTGAGCGCTAGGTTGGGAAAAGTTGGCATCAGGATATAGAAGCACTGCCCAGGACTCCTGGGTTCTCCTCTGGGCTAGTGATCCGTAGAGTCGAAGGTTGCAAGCCCCATTGGGTCGTGGAGCTGGATCCCTGCGCCCCTGCATGGCACATGGGAACTTGTGCATCCCTGGGGCTTGGCCTGGGTGGGACACGAGGCTGGATGCAGTGGTGAGAAGCTCCACAGCAGGGACCCACCGGAGCCTCCCCCCTCTGCCCGTCCCTGCCACGGGGTCAGGCCCTGGCAGCAGAATGCTCTGCTGCCAACACTAGCAGTGTAGCCATGGGAGGTGCTGCGTGGGTGTGC